ATTATATATATATATAAATATATATATATATATATATATATAATAGATGCAACATTTCTTTAATGTACTCAGTAACTCACAATCTGCCAGATAGTTCTGAAAATTTGCATACATTAGTTTCTACATGATGTACAGATTTCACTTACCAAAATATACAAATATCTGTATTTAAACTTGCCCTTAAGTAAACTACTGATCAGTAAAGCGTGAAACAAGCTTCCTGAAGCAAACATCTGTTTGAGCTTATATTATTGCAGTTATTGAGGCATCAAGTTCTTATGATGTGCATGATTAAAGCAATCATTTTTTGATATTAATATCACAGATAAAAAGTGTCACAATGAAAATTTTGAATCCTAGTGTCATAAACTAAAGAGAAGACAGTCATATGAACAGTGTGAAATGTTAGAAATATTTCATTTTTCAAGTAAACATTAAAATAAGTATACAAGAAACCATACACAACATTTTTAGATTACGGGAAACAATTTACTCAAACAAGATGTTAAAATTCATGTTTTACGTGATGTGTATACCTTTTGCCACAGACGATCCTTGTCTTCACGACAGTTTTTGTAAGCTTCTTGTGCATGATTCAAATCAGTTTCCTGCCTTCTTAACTGTTCCTGTAGAGCAGTGTTTTCTGCTCTAAGTTCCACCACCTCTTCTTGTAACTGTGAAATCTGAAGGCTGTGACATGACGTGGCTCTGTTTTCTGTTAGTCTAGGAGCTTGTCCATAAACCTTTAACCAAAAGAAGTAACGAAGATAAATTCTCTCAAAGGTTGTTTGGTGGTCACATTTCTTTCAGTCCCAACCCTAATTTGAAGTGACAGACTAGAAGGAAGGCAGCTAGTCAACACTGCCCACCACCAACTCTTAAGTTACTCTTCTCAGACTACATATAAGGATTTTATATCGACCCATGGCCCCAAAGTATGGTTCACGATTTTTTGAAAATGTGGGAACAGGTTGTAACACCAGCTCCACAGTATGGCAAGTTAACCACTGGGTCCAACCCAACCCTTCTTTAAAAGTACACTCAGATGAATTAAGTAATTTAAGTTTGGAAGCCTTAAAGACATTTTAAATTTAAATTATTCTAATATGAATCATGCAAAAGAATGTTGTAAATACATAACTCTTACGATATTTTACCTTGAAAGCTTTTCGTACAGTGGTAAGTAAACATTGTATTTTTGCTTATCGGGTAAAAATCCATTTACCAACACTCACTAGTCTTCTAACACACTAATTACAAGAGTACCTGTCTTTATCAATCATCAGCTAGAAACACATTTTACTGTATGGACACCAGTAACACGCAACACGCTTACCTGGAATGTTCTATCTTCAAAGATTTCATTGTCAATCAGCTAGAAACACATTTTACTGTATGGACACCAGTAACTTGAAACACGCTTACCTGGAATGTTCTATCTTCAAAGATTTCATTGTCAATCAGCTAGAAACACATTTTACTGTATGGACACCAGTAACTTGCAACACGCTTACCTGGAATGTTCTATCTTCAAAGATTTCATTGTCAATCAGCTAGAAACACATTTTACTGTATGGACACCAGTAACTTGAAACACGCTTACCTGGAATGTTCTATCTTCAAAGATTTCATTGTCAACCAACACACTGTTGGCCTCTTCTTTTTTATGACAAAGAACCTTATTGGCTTGGATGGAATATTCTTCTTCTTCGTGAAACCTTGAATGTTCAGCATTTGATTCATTTCCTTGATGGTAAAAAAATTTCTTGTAGTCAGATAATACAAACTTTTAGTTACTAGTTAATTTATAGTATTATACTTTGCTGTACAACTCCTTATTCTACAATTCAAAAACAAACAGTACTCATCTGAATAAACAATTCAACAAGACAAGTTTAAAGTTTCGTGTTGTGTAAGACAACCTAATAGACATTCTATTTGTATCCAATAAATATATGTCATTAATGATCTAGATTCCAGCCTGTTCACTAACATGGCTCACCTTTTTCACTATATAATTCATTATTACTTGTATCTTGACTTTGGGTTTCACTGTATTTTGATTCGTCTTCAGATTGCTGACTGAATTCGTCTTCCTCTCTAAAAGAAAAAAAAAAAGAATTGAAACTTCAGCCCAGAAAAATACAATAACAAAATCTCCAGTTTCCCTCCTAACAGTGCAAGGTTAAAATATATTTGTCTTTGTTTTCAATTATAAAAAAGTGAAAGATTTACTCTAAAGTATAGACACATCTTCAAGTTTTTCTCAACAGATTAAAAATTAGCCACCAGCGAAAAACAAACCAGTTGCTCATTAGAGGAACAAGAAACACTGATTTTCTTAATTAATATCAGTAAAAACTGGTTTAAATTAACTATATTCTAATTGATAACCAAGATAATTAATTAAAAAAATCAACTCCGTACTTTATCTAAATTACAAAAGTTAACAGCATACAAAAATATGATATTTATATATCTACGTATAAATTTTTTTCAAATAAGCTGTATTACATCAAAAGCATACAGGCAATCACTCAGCACTGTATAGTTCTGACGAAATTATAATATAAACTACAATTTTATTGTACATGTAGATGTACGCACCAACGTTAGGAATAATCGTACTCAAGTTATTGAGTACTTGAAATATTAAACTACTAAGAGGTCGCTAGCATATAAAATCTTATTATAAAGACTAGCGTTAACTTTATAATACTTTCAGTATTTCTGGGTTGGAAAGACCAACTTCAGGCAACTGGGCCTAGCTCAGTTTACCCAGTTATACTTAAAAGTCATGTCCTTAAAAAGGGAGGAGAAACGGGTACCAGAACTATATAGGTGGGTTTATAGTTTATAGTCATTAATAAAAACAT